GAACTGGATTCAACGTAGCGAGCGTGAGACGATGCTCGCGTGGGCGGACTGGGACTTCTGGCTCCTCGGCTTCGTCGTCGAATCCTTTCCGGACTGATCCGTTCGTCGCTGGAATCATCGTATCTAGAAATTACGAGATGCAGTTTAACAGTATAGTTTACTTAAATTAGAAATTGTAAAAAGTTCACACAAAAATATTCAGGATTGGGAAAGTTTATAAAAGTAACTCGTTATCTTTTTTCTGAAAAATAACTCAATACTGTTATTGACTCCTTTTTAAAATAATATATAATTATCTTTGTCACTAATTTAGACCAGTTCAACACGAGATCTGTAGCGGTTATAATGATTATAGTTAATTGCGATATAGTCAAACATAATATTTTTTACTTTTGGAATTCACTTATGTACGTTCTATGTATAATTTACTGTAAGTATACAAAATAATGGTAAAAGTAACAATCATATTCGTTACTGTTATTCAAAAAAGTAATCGTGTTACAATTAACATTACAAATAAGGAGATGTAACGTAATTAATCATTACTAAAAAAGAATAATTGTAATGGTGACATTACAAGTAATGTGTTACTTCCGAACCTTGAAAATATTATGCGTGCACCTTGACCGAATATGGTCCCCTTCATTCATTTGTAGTAGCATAATATAGCGTATAATCAGGGATGGGGCAAAATACTAAAAAAAATTGTATTTAAATACAAAATACTCTCAATAAAATAAAAATGTGTTTAAATACATTTCAAATATTGCCCATTCTTGACTGAGACATAACGCTAGAGATTGTTGTTCACCAAATGTAAACAAAGATAAATGATGCATTATGCACATCATGCGTGAAATGAAACGCACTTTAGATTGAGTCAACATTGGTGCGATTTTAATTTTAATAAAAAATTTTTTTACATAATTTAAATGTATTTAGTATTTACAAATTTAAAATACAAAATACTAAAAAAAAAGTATTTAAATGCAAAATACAAAATATTCTCAAAAAAGTGTTTAAATACGAAATATAAAATACAAAAGTCTATTTAAATACGTATTTTAAATACGTGTCTTTCAAATATTGCCATCCCTGCATATAATACACGCACACATAGCAAAACTACATATCAAGTTATTATATCTGTAATAATTGCAGTGAAATCTATTCGTAAGTTCATTGAAATGGAACAATATTAAAGCACCGAATACTCTCTAAGCTCTTTGAAATTGAATCCTAAGGCTAACATTCATAGTCAGGTCTCATATTCAAGACAGTCTTAAGAAGTCAAATCAATCAGAAGGCCGTATTAGCGTCTTGAAACAGTCTTGAAATAAAGAATGGACAATGAATACCACCCTAAGAGTGAAAATTAAGCTAATCTTGAAAAGAGTGACTCAATTTTCAATATATATTTTCTTTAAGAGTGAGATTTCACTCTTTAGAATAAAATTCATCCTAATAGAATTTTAGAATGTAACGAAAGTCGATCAAACAAGTAAAAAATTATAAAAAAATTCACACATCTAATTGTAAATTTTCCTTAAGATTTGTTACGTATTATATACTAGGATTATTACTTTTGATAACTTCGAAGCTTTAAAAGAATTTTCAAATTCCGAATCTTTGAAATTTAAGGTGCTTCGAAGCTTCGACCTTTGAATTTTTCAAAGGATGATATTTCACTTATGCGCTTTTATTGTACGACAAATTTTTCAAGCCTATTGATTAGTTATGGGGTAAAGAAATCCGAGGACCTTTCTCTTCTGTACACATTTATTGTACGACAAAAATGAACGCACAAATGAAATAGCATCCAAAGCTTGGAAGCATCTGAAAAGTTCAAAGATAGTAGAGGTAATTTTCGAAAATTGGAATTTGTTGTGTTCAAAGATTCGAAATTTCAAAGTTATAAAAAGTAACAGTATTTAATGAGCCTTAGTATTTAACATATCTTGAAAAGAACATGGATATGTAAATTTCTGTAATTTTTTACTTCAAAGATATTCGGAATTAATTTCCAATATTCGAATTCTTTCAAAGCTTCGAATTTTTCAAAGTCAAAAATAACAGCCCTAGCATTTAACATCTTGAAAAGGACTTAAATGTCTAAATTTTTGTAATTTTCTATTTCAAAGGTGTTAATTTCCAAAATTTGAATTCTTTTAAAGCTTCAAATCTTCGAAATCAAAAGTAATAGCCCTCATATTTTATACTCGAAGAAAACTTGAACGTGTGAATTTTTGAAATTTTCTATTTCGAAGAGTTAATTTCGAAAATACGAATTCTTTTAAAGCTTCATAGTCAAAAATAACAGCCTTAAATACCAAATATAAATACACGTTTCGCTAGCTGTAGTGACTGAATGAAGAATAATTCACTCGGCGTAAAACGCACACACACTCGTGCACACACACACATACGCGCGCGCGCGCGCGCGCAACGCCACGTACGTGCGCAACAATAGCAATGAAAAAAAAAAAAGAAAATCCACACATCATTAATGCTATGTATCACAGGTCAGCGATCATAGTTACACAGAACAACAATCTCGGCGTCGCGAAGCGAGGGGGAAAAAAAAGGATTAAACGCAGAAGGATCGAGCGGGATTTGTTTGGCCAAGAAAAGACGCCGCGTGAAGTTGCCACCGGAGAGATACGCGAGTTTTTCGTTCGATGTCGCGAGATATCTTACCGTCCCATG